ACCCTAAACCCTAAATACTAACAACAGATGATGCTCTTACCCTCGCCCAGCTTATCCACCCCAGGACGCCAAATCTACAAACAAACCACACACAAACCCTAAACCCTAAACCCTAAACCCTAAACCCTAAACCCTAAACCCTAAACTATATCCCCTCTGAGCCAACAGCCCTACTCTCTGAAACCCTAAACCCTAAACCCTAAACCCTAGCCCGCTCAAACCCTAACCCTTAACCCCGCTAACCCTAACCCTTAACCCTAAACCCTAGACCGTATGCACCCGTTTCCAAGGCGCAGAGCGCTAAACCCTAAACCCTAAACCCTAAACCCTAAACCCTAAACCCTAATTTATACCTTGACGGGCTGCTCCTCGTCTTCGTCTTGGTCTGTTTGCATCTCCGCTGCATCAGATGCATCGCTCCAATCGTCATCTGAATCTGCTGCTGCTGCTGCTGCTGCTGCTGCTCTCTTGCTGCTGCTGCTGCTGCTGCTGCTGCTGCTGCTGCTGCTGCTGCTGCTGCTGCTGCTGTGTTTTTTTTGTTTGTTCTGCTGCTTGCGCAGCAGCTGCTGCAGCTGCTGCTGCTCCTCCTCGTCGAGGTCGTCGCCATAGGGGTCCTCAAACTCCAGGCCATTGTCCTTTGCCACAAACCCTAAACCCTAAACCCTAAACCCTAAACCCTAAACCCTAAACCCTAAAATCTAAACTCTAAACCCTAAACCCTAAACCCTGAAGAAGTCTAGAGTTAAGGCAATCGAGAGATGTCTGTCTCATACGGAATGCTGTGCTAAACAACTAGGGTTTAGGGTTTAGGGTTTAGGGTTTGGGGTTTAGGGTTTAGGGTTTAGGGTTTAAGGGTCTTACAGCTGCAGCCTCTTCAGCCTCCTCTTCTACCCTCTTTCCTTGCGCTCCCTTCTTTCTCTGAAACCACAAACCCTAAACCCTAAACCCTAAACCCTAAACCCTAGAGATACAAACCCTAGGCAGTAGATTCAAAGTTATATAACACGCTGGCGCCAAACCCTAAACCCTAAACCCTAAACCCTAAACCCTAAACCTTTGCCTGACCTTTGGTTCGGACATCGTCGCCGGTGATAAGCTCCCCTTCAAACCCTAAACCCTAAACCCTAAACCCTAAACCCTAAACCCTAAACCCTAAACCCTAGGCCGTAAACCCTGGCCTAAACCTCCTCCTTGTTGATCTATAGAACGGGGGAGCCACGAATTATAGAATTTAAAATATTAGGGTTTAGGGTTTAGGGTTTAGGGTTTGCTGCTGCTGCTGTGTGGGGCCCTACAGGCCTGCCCGCGAGGGTTTAGGGTTTAGGGTTTAGGGTTTAGCGCTGGTTGCCTTCTATAAACCCTAAACCCTAAAATAAATAAAATAAAAACAAAAATTAGTAACAACAACAAATCAACAAACCCTAAACCCTAAACCCTAAACCCTAAACCCTAATGCTCCCAGGGGCCCTTCTAGGGCCCTCCGGGGCCCTGTG